CCCCAAAACCCCAAAACCCCAAAACCCCTATTTTTTAAATTAAAATAGAATAATATCAGTAATAATTATATTTTGGTTAATACTTCTTGTCACTTTGATCATGGGTCTGGAAAGATACAATAGCAGGGTCGATTGGCTGACCCCCACCATGGGTGGGATAAGGCATCTGATTGCTATGAATCTGAGACATCAAGTTCTGCTCAAGGCTAGAAGCATCAATGATAGTCACAGCTTCATCCTTTATTATCCCAGAAATAGCTGGGTCAATGAATGGTGTTGATACTTGAGCTTTAGTCTCCTCTGGCTGGACTTCTTCTTCAATTTCTTGTTCTGGAGGTTGGAAATGCACCTCTGATGAGTATTCATCAGGAGATACTTCATAATGTGAAAATCTTTTATTACAGTGTTCGCTAAAGAACTTCTCAAATAAAAATCATTGTCTGCTATTATATTTATAACAGTTTTCGTCATGGCCAATTTGGAAGGTCTTTGGAACAAGACCTTGGTTGAACCACATAAAGAGCTCTCCAATATGTATAGGCCCATCTTTGTTCAAATAGAACTGTGGAGGAGAGCTTCTCTTGTTAACTACATGGAAAGAAAATGGATTTTGGATAAGATTTAGCATCTCCAAATCTGTTGGGTCTCTCTTCATATCCCAAAACTTCTTTACCAAAACCATATCTACATCTTGTTGGTGAGGCTTTTTGTTATTAGTCTCTTCTTTGATCTCCTTGTCAAACATTTTCTCAAATCTCTTCTTTTCTCTCAACCTGGGTTTGAATACATGAGCTTTCCTAGGCTTAGGGATTCTCTTTTTCTCAGCTTTTACATACTTATAGGCAACATCGATTGTTTCACCAACTTTTGGTAGATTCTGAGATCCTTTTATCGGAGTATCTTGATGTTGATCAATAAACTCAAGGTTTTTGCTCTGGAACTGATCATCCATCAGCCAGTCATCTTCTTCATCTTCATCATCATTTGTTTGCATGAACTGGTTCTGGTCAACACCATATCCTCCAAACATTCCTGGCTGTTGACCTTTGGATGGTTGATTATGTGAATGAAATAATTTGTCATTTCCAGGTGGACCTGCCGAAGGTTGGCCAAATATCTTCTCAAACTCTTCATCTCTTCCTGCTGGAGCTCCGAATAATGAGCTTCCAAAGCCCATATCTCCTCCTCCAAAAGAATCCATTGGATTGCTAAATGGTTGATTAAACCCTCCAAAAGCTTCTCCACCGAAGCCTCCAAATCCTTGGCTCATTGGATTACCCACTGGGTTATTAAAGTCTTGCATTGGAGGTTGCTGGAACCCACCGAAAGGTCCTCCAAAATCTTGCCCGTGTGTAGGGCCGAATCCTGGTTGTGCTCCAAATCCAGGACTTTGACCAGCAGGAGGATGACCTCCAACTCCTGGCTGTTGGAACCCAGGCTGGGGTTGCATCATATTTGGATTAAAACCTTGAGTGTCAGAAGCATGAGGCATAAATCCTTGAGGATTCACCCCTGGTTGGTTAAATCCAAACTGTCCAAAATCTTGTTGAGGTTGTGGGAATTGTGATTGTCCGCCAACATTTGTCTGTGGTTGGGTAGGAACTTCAAACTTTGAGAGTTGCTTTTTCTCAATCTCATCTATGCTAATAGGCTGTTGAATATTAGCATTGTCTTCAGTCTTATCCTCTGTCTCATCATCTTCAAGTCCTCCTAGTTCTTCAAGTTCAACACCATCTTTTTCTCCAAACATCTTTTTGAGTGGAACTTGTTTTGAAAAATCGAATTTCTTTGAAGCGTCGAATCCATCGAGCCATTCAGGATCCATATCGTCATCATAATCATCTGGTGCTTTTTCTTTTCCAAAATCATCTATATCAATGTTAACAAAAGAATGCTTACTTCTTCCTCCTCTTCTGGGTCCATATCCCTTTCTTGATTTGAGGTCTTCTAAGGTCAAGCTAGGCTTCTCTTCTCAAAGAAGTACTGGTGTCTGTGATAGGCTCACCACTAAATCAAGTTCTTCGTGGTCTTGCATTATTTTAGTTGCTTTCTCTAGATTTACTGATGCAAACATTTCAAGTAGCTCAGCTTTAGAATACTTATATTCATCTTCTATCTCTATTTGTTTAGTCTCCTCTGTCTTTTTGACAGGTTTCTTCTGCTGTATCTTGGGATCAACAATTGTAATAGCAGGGTCGTTGATAATTCCTTGAGGTTGAGGATGCTTTGGTCTGCTATCATGATAACCTCCAGCACGGGCCCTTCCTCTACGTCCACGTCTACTCCCTCCACGAGAGTAGCCAGAATATCCATCTCCGCCGTATGACATTTATTTATGTAAAATTTCCAATTAAATTTTGAATAAAAGGGGTTTTGGGGTTTTGGGGTTTTGGGGTTTTGGGGTTTTGGGG